ATCTTTGACATAAAGGATCAGACCTCGGATCAGACGTAAACTATTAAGTCATGTAAAATGAATTGCTCCAAGTCTGAAAAGTTCGTTAAAAAAAAGTATGTGTGATTGAGTTGAAATGCGCGTCTGTTATGACTCAAAAATTGACGCTCATTCAAATTAATTATCCACATATTGGAAACATTTTGGAGATTCTTAAGCTTCGAAAAAAAATTACCCCCATTCTAGTTCGAACCCCACCGACGCCTTTGCAATCTGCTCTTGTCAACGCTCGCGTCTTCACCCCCTAAAGAAGATATCTAGCTACGCCAATGACCATTTAATATCTTTTGATTTTGCACGTTAGTTTGCAGTGATTCGGGTTTTTTTTCAGATTCGGAGGGCTCAATCGCGTTAGCTTTACGGAGCCAATATTTCGTGGTTTGTAGATTAACAAGAATAACTTCATGAAGAGCTTTGAGTGCGTTGGTTTATTTACTTTAAATTCCGTTATAATTGCTTATCTTTTGACAGATACGCGTATTTCGTCTACTACTTGCAGACTTCATCAGTGCCAAGTACTCAACACCGCTGAAGAGGTGACTAAAAAACAGCAGGTATCCACTGCCATGTCACAATTTACCTAACCAGGTACATAAATTTAGCCTCCAACAGGTAGATACATGCTACGATGTGTGGTTTTAAAGTCTCGAGTATCCGTTTCCTTATCTCTATTAAGCAATGATGATGGATTATGTTTAAATATTTCTAAACATTCTGCTACGTCTAGTTTCCAAGATGAAGATACACTCCACAGGATATTAATGTTATCCTTTGTCAAATTGTGCCCCTTTGTAAAGATATGTTCTGCAACCTTGGATTTAAATTCATAATGAAGTCCTTTATCCATCCCTTTACTTTTACCTCTGCGATGTGTTCCTTAAACTTTGTTTCCAAAGTCCTTTTCGTCTGACCAATGTAGATTTTATTACAATCTAGACAAAAGATTATGTAGACTCCGGCTTTCCCTAAGACATTTATTGAATCTTTTGGTGATCCTAACTCAGCTGATTTGTCCTGCTGCTGAATACTAATTCTAGTCCAAAACTTCTAAATCAATGGTTTGATAATGTTTTTGTCGAAATTCACCGCTACCCGTTTTAAACCCTCAGTTACTGGTGTAAGAGTTGTCGAAATACGCCTAAAATGATCCCTTGTTCTTTTATCGATTATTGCTTGAATTGTTTTTTTTTCTTGATACCCATTAAGTCTAGCGATTTCAAAAATGTGAGCTATTTCCTTTGATTTGTCTGTATCGCTAAGAGGAAGAGTTTGCATCCTTTGAACCATGTGGTGAAAAGCGGCCATTTTGTGTTGATGGGAATGGTTTGAAGCAAGGTGACTATATATAGGTGTTCTAATGTGTCAAATTCATGATTCAGCCATGTTGGATTTTTGTATGGGACAGCGACCGAGTTTGTTTACAATTTGCTCTAAAACCGCACTTTTCCCCCCGCGACCTCCTCGCCTATATAGTGACAAAGCTGTATCACCATCTATATACCCACCATGGTTTGAAGTGCTTGGTATTACCAACAATCAATACGAAACTAACGATTTTAAATTGGCTCACTACTTGACTAGCCTATTGGTCCCAAGCAAATCGATTAACGTATCCCATTCTAGTCGAAATTCTAGTACTACGCAATGTTTGTTTTGATTCGCTATGAAAGTTTGACAGGATAAAATGAGGGGTGATTGGTTTTTCCTTTGTTTCGAGGGGTGAATCGATTAGCTTGGGACCGAAGAGAGTACCAGAGCTGAGCCAAAAAGTTGAGCACATTTCTTCGGGACCTTCTAGTCTTAGAGTTACCTCTATGGTATTACTCTCTTTGTATTTTTTGGTTTCCTATAGATTTCTAAATTGAACGAAGACGTTTCCCCGAGGGCGCCCCGACACATCTAACTCTCAATTCTAGATGCTCGAAAAATCTCACACTAGCGAATCAATCTTCTTTCATTTCTCGTATCTACTTACATCGTGCATCATCTTTTTGCAGGAAAGCTTCAGAATCGTCATCAATCCTCTTTCTATCGACTCAGCGTACATGCAACTAGCTTCAGCAAACCACAATCTTTCCTGCATCGTAGATAGAGTCGTCCCCCTCGCGTTTCCCTGATGATGAGAAGATCTAAGAAGGGGAGTTTGCCGTCTCTCTCTTCTTCGTGAGTAAATTTGATGTCCTTGTGGACGTTGCTTATGGCCTCCAAAGTTTTTGATAAATCTTCCCTTTTGAAAATGCTAAAAATGTCATCCACGTACCTATACCAACACTTGGGCAACAAATTCCTATCCCCCAGAGTATTTTCTAGGTTAGCCATAAACAATGCACATAAAAATGGAGAAAGCGGATTGCCCATAGGAGCACCTTTGGTTTGTTTATAAAAAAATTCTTCTGAAAATGAAATAATTTTCCTCCATACAAAGACGAGTAAGCTTGAGATATTACCGAACTTTGTTTTTCCAAGTAGAATCCTCACGTTGCTTCAGAAGCCAGTCCTCTAAAAGGCTGATGACTTTCTTTACTGGTACTCTCGGAAAAAGTGCTGTGACATCAAATGAAACCATGACTTCATCTTCCCGAATTTCTCTTGATGCCTGAAGTTGATTTGCGAATTCCTGTGTGCTGTTAACTGAGCGAGTGGTTAAGGGTTTAGGCACAGACAAACAGACGTAGCTCTTCATTGTGTATCTTCGTTCATGCATTTAACGGTTGATTTGAATATTATCAGTTCCGCGAACTACTCGCCGCAGCGCTGGCATCGGATCACTTTGACGTTTCTATACATTCTATAGAACTTTTATGCAATATTGTTTACGAGTTAGCGAGCAAGCTTGTTTTCCGCGAAAAGCCAGAGAGATGTCGTTACTGAGGTTATATGTTTAGAGATACTATGTTTTCAAGAACAAGTTTTTCAAAGAGTTACGTCTGTTTGTCTGTGGTTTAGGCATACTTTGAAATTCCTTAACTAGCCATTTGGCAAGCTTATGAGTGGGGGATCCTTCAGCCGAGATAATCTCCCTCATTTCGTTTCCTGGTTTGTGAATCTTTGGTAAAGCTTTGATCCTAGGTAGAATAGAGTTTCAAACTTTCAATTGATTCGTAGTGTTGCCAATAAACGCCTTGCACTCTTTCAACGTTTTATCCACATGTTTAACCATAGATGAGAGAGGGTCAATCCTCAACTGTCTGTATGGGTCATTAGTATTTTTTTTTCCGTCATCCGATTGTCATAGTCCTCTTTGTCCAAAATCACTACTGCATTACCTTTGTCCGCTTTTGTATATAATACCGGCTTTGTTTTTAGTTCTTTGAGAATTCGAGTTTCCTCTTTTTCGGTTTTACTAAGTGAATGACCCTTTCCGTTTTGTATTGTCTATGAAATAATATTCCTGGCAGTCTCGTGTAATTGAATAGGAAGTGTGTGAATGATTGCAATCTCCATGTCAACGATGTCCTCTTCCACGTCAGGTTTTGAGGAGATCGCATATCCTAATTCCTTGTTGAGAAGTGTCAATTGTTCTTCAGAGAACTGCTGCGTCGAGCGATTTACCACAAAACCTTCGACGGATTGTACCACAGCTGTGTTAACTGAACTGTTTGATTTCTGGTCTCTCTGCTGTGTTGTGTAATTCAAATAGTATTGTAGTGACCTCAGTTTGTTGTTATGTAACTTTCTTTTCCTTTTTTCCTCGCAGTCCTCCAATACTTTTACTTTAGTCAAAAACAGTGGAAATTCAATTATGAATTATTTGGCCAATTTCAAATGCAGGAAATAACAGTCCAACGACTTTGTTTCCAACTTTGAGTAGAGACTGTGAATGCTCGCTTTTATAAATTCTGACTCCATCTTACGAGCTACTTTTAAGGGAGTTGGTGTCTTAACCCTCATCTTATGACTGATAGGTGTTAGATTAAATTTTCGGCATTTCTTAAGAAACGCTATGTCTTTCCTTAAACAACTTCATACTGCGTCTAGTGGAGTGGACTGATTACACGCGGTTTACTCGAGGTTAAAAAGGGTAACATTTAGGAGGTAAGGATCAAGGGAGGAGCATGGAAATGGAGTATCATTGTCTCATCATAGAGTTGTCGCCAGCTCTATAACATTGTGCATTGTAATCAGGGTTCGCGATTGGTGTTCGATCAACGTCGATGGTGGGCGATGATGAGACTCATCGAGACTAGGGGACAAAACAAACACAAACTAATAAGAAGAAAAACAACTCAAAGGAATTAAATTCTTAAACTATAACACATAAATCGACAGCCTATAGCAGATATAGCAAGTTCCCTTGGGTCACAAGGCGCTCTCTGGCGGCGTCATTATCCGCACATTGCCAAACTGCACATTCGATGTCATCGTAACCGTTTCCAAACAATGATGCATGTTGAAAATTAATAGATCGATGAATTAATATTGCGAAAACATTAATTAAGTAATAATGCTCGAAAGAAATTGATTGATTGAAAGCAACTCGGAACTTTCCCAAAATTGGTAAAAATTTCTTCTTTATTTGAAAACCGAAGAGTGGCATGCGACTGAATAAAAACTACGAAGAAAAACATAGTTCGCGACGTCCGGAATTTAGTGAAACTCCTCACGCACATAATCGATTCCGCATGCAACAACTATCATCAAGGTAAAAGGCAGCGACATCACGAGTAACGCGATCGAAATGAACAACATCGCATCCATGCAACTCCACACACGGACGAGTGACTTCAATACGCACTACTTCAGACAAGCGACGAACCCACCAACCACCGATCGCCACTCAGCACCACGTGTTTGGGCGCTGTTATGCTTCACACTTTCGCGCCAACCTCGTGAGTTACGCTCTCTCTCTCTCTCATTCTCTTCCTCTCTGAGTAGCACACGCAAAGCGTCTAAATCATGGAGACGCACGGTAGTTTTTAATAATGTGAATAGGAAATTTCGGACAAATGAAGCAGCAGCAATTCGATCGATTACATATTAATGCATTTCCTTTCTTCTTATTGCTAGATCCTATCAATTTCCTGGAAATTATCTTCATGGAAAATATTTGTAGAATATATCTATAATTTAACACTCTATATCAGGCATATTTTTTTTTTATCTGTTTGTTGTTTTTGTTTATAGGAAACCATATTTGTAATACTACTTCCCTACTTTGTTTGCCTGCGATAGATTTTTGTTTGGACTAAGAGAAGCCTAAATTAAACAGTGAAAAATAAACAGAACCGAGTTTTCTAAGGATAAAATCGTGATTATCATAAATAAACATGTGCACAGATTTCAAAAGGGACTAAACGAAAAGAAGTTGAATAGATTTAAAAACGAAACACAACATAAATCTGATTGAATATAGAGCGAAAAATTGTATTTTTTTAAAACTAATCCTTCTGAATATCACATGTTACAACTTGATTATAAAATAAAATCCTGATAATGATATCATCTATTTACGACTTAGATTTCAATAGGAGAATTAGCACGGTTCGAACTGATCCTGTAACTTTCTTTCTTGTTTCTTCTTCTTACAGCATAAGCACTCTCTAGAGCAAGTTTCACCTGATCATAAAAGCAAATATCAACTTAAAAGAAACATAAATACAAGTGGTTTTCTGTGTTTTCTTAAAAACAAATAAGAAAACGCTGATCCTTTTCCTTTCCTCCACAATTCGAGTCGAATCTCAGTGTGTAAACTTATTCGCTACGCGCACACGAGTAGAAGAGCAAAATGTTCACTATATCTGATTCACGTACGTACGATTGGAAATTTAATTTTTTACGATTTTTTTTTTATCCATTATGCGCTTCTTATCTTATCTCAATTGTGTATTTTGTTGTTTGTTTAATTTCCTTAAATTGCGATTATTATTAGTAGTAAAAAAAAAGTATGGAATTTTCGTGAATTTCAGTTCTGCCCCACGCGTTTCGCTCTCTCCGGGCAACTCAGCCGAAACGCAAGCTGGTTCTCTCTCACCATAATGGCCGTTGGTTTGTGGGAGTGAATGAGATAGAGAGTTAGTTGGGAACGGGAAATTTATAAGTATGTTATGTTATCCGATGGCGGCGTTCGAGTTCGCTTCGATTGTGCGGTGTTGTGATGATGTGACGAGTTATATATGATTACGATGACGGGGATGGCATTCGCGATTAAGCCACGGTGCCATTCACTTGGCAGCATTTGGTGTCCTGAATCAGTTGGTTCATACGATGGGCAAAGGTTGGGTAGTCCTGCGAGAAAAGAAGACGTGAAATTGTATTAGTTGAGATTGTCATCAAGCTTCAAAATGCACCTTACCGTAGCCAAGCAGACTTCCTCGACCTGTTGCGAAACGGCCGGAAAGCCAATTCCGGTGAACGTCTCGTGTAGCCGCTTCATGTCTACCTCTCCCATGCTGTACAGCACCGCCAGGAACAGGTCGTAGTGTAAAATGCCCTCCGGCGCCACCAGCGCCTTGATGATGGCAGCCTCAAACGACTGCAGTAGATTTTCGCGGAAAAAATCCCTCAGATAGAGCTTCCATCGGTCGTTCAACGCTTGCAGCGTTTGTAGCGTGGCACGTGTTACGTGAGGATCGTTCGAACATACGATCGCCTGACCGTATGCGTTCATGATGGCCGCAAACTGCTCCGGATGTTCCAGAACCGACTGCGGCTGCTGGATTAAACCCGTAGAACTCGGAGCAAACTGCTTCAGTACACTTGACTTGTAGAAATACTGCCACCGATGGAGCAGTATTCCATTGAACAGCTGATACAACGATAAGCTAACATCCGCGTGGCCACTTAGTTCACCTTTTCCGCTGTACTCGGAAGAGAACACCATCGGGAGTACGTGCTCGATCGAAAAGTTCAGGATGTCCGGCAGAAGGGAAACATTACCCGGCTGTTCTACGATTAGAAGGAACATTTTGAGCAGAATATCCAGCGAACGGAAACGCTGCGAAGTGATCTGTTCCGTTTTGGTCTTGCCCAGGAAGAGCAGAATGATATTCTTCAGGAACACTTGCCCCAACTGAACCTGCAGGGTTCGGAGAATTCCCATGCAAAATTCGAAGATTTTCTCGATCAGCGCGCAGTTCTTGCTGCTGGCTGCACTGTAGATGGCTAGGGTTTTCTCTATCACAGGCCTGTAGGCGGCCGCTAGCATCTGTTTGACGGAACTGCTCTGCTCCTGGTAGTATTCCAGCAGATCTCGCAACGTGCTAAGTACAATTGTTGCCACCGACACGATCTTCTCCTCCTGACCATAGTCCAACGAAGGATTGCTACTGCTAAAGGTATGGCCCAAGTCTAACCTAATCAAATCACCGGCAATAAATGCAATATATTCCTGTAGAAGTGCAGCACGACCTTCGAAGTTTTGCTCCCCAGCACTACAGCCCGCCCACGGTAGTACGAAGCAATTACAGATGGATAGTCTCACCGTCAAAGCCACCGGGCGCTCCAGGTGCCGTAGGTCACTGTGCACCAGTGGTTTTATCAACTGTACGAGATACTTTGGTCGCAAATTGGCACTGACACTGACCAATAGCTGACCCGCTGCAGTGGTCAACGTCTTCAGCTGGTCCCTCTTGATCTTCTGCGGAGGCGACAGGAACCTCGGAATGCATCCGACGAAATGCATCATTTCTGCATCCCCAAATGGAATGTGCGTCACGACCAGGAGGCTTCGTAACGTGATCAAGGTCTGCCCGATCACGTCCACCAGCTCCCCGGCCAAGGGTTGCATGTGTACAAAGAAATACTCCAACGGATCACCCGAAGCGCTAGACACCATCTCGACCAGCTTGACCAGATCTTCGATCAGCCGCCCCAGCGAGGCGCTGACCTTTTCGGAACGTTCATGCAGCAGGGGACTAACCCGGGCGATTATTTGGCACAGCGAAATGAAATCACGGAACTTGCACCGCAATCCGGACCGAGCTTCCTCGTCCTGTAGCAGAGCGGCGGTGGCGGCAGCCGGACGTGATGCGACGTAGCTGGAACCGTTCAGCAGCATACCGCCAACCGTGGACAGGACCTGACCGTACGGTCCGCTGGCGTCGGAGGCAAACTCGGAGAAAGCCATATCGTACACCCGGATCGGCTCGATTTCCGCGATCTGCGCTATCGTGTCGATGCACTGGTTGAAGAAGTGCTGCAGCTCGGTTTCGTTCTGGAAGGAAGCAAAGGAAAGGTAATGAATTTCACAGACATTTACTTTCTTAAGTTCTCGCTAATTCCTTCTAGAAGTTTCTTTCTTTTCTCGCCTCATACTCGTAGGGTAAACGCTCCTATAGTTGCGGTACGTTAAAAGCGTTAGGTTCCTATAGTTGTGTATTGAGTCTCCATGCACAACTATAGGAACCTAATGCTTCTAACGTACCGCAACTATAGGGGTGTTTCCCCTACTGACTTCTAGAAGCTTCTTTTGCTAACTGTCTTATAGGTAGAAGTTTCTTTGTTCAACCTTATACTCGTACCGACTGTGCATAAATAGTACAGACTCCCAAATTTCCTTTTAAATAAACCAATTCATTGAAATTTTCGTAATCCTAGGTTAAAACCACTGTTGTGTTCGTAGATATAACACACTTAATTGTTTTAAAAAAAACATTCATCCACATTCAGAAACAGGCTTGCAATCAATTCCTTCCGAAATTGTTTTAACCTAGGACCGTCCCACGTTTAGAATGCCCATTTAATTTAAATACCTAATGCATTTAATTTCCATCGTTTGCATCAACCTGGCATCAACCATTCAGTGGGATGTGAACGTCAAAACAAAGCATGCACATTTTCATTGACAGCTTTAATACATACATACATGCATCAAGGCGAAAATGAACAACCGGTAAGCATTTCTAATGTCGTTTTCGTTTTTGCGGTGTAGCTACACCGGTGCTACACTGCCGAACACCGAAAAAATTTAGGGTGTAGCTATCGGTTGCACCTTTGTTTACAAACAAATGATGATGAACTGTCAATGACTCGCACTTATTGCTACACCGGTGTAGTGTAGTAAAAACGAAAACGACAAAAGCGTGTACCGCACGATTTCGGTGATGATTACCGACGCTGCTGACGGAAGTTCCAGAGAATTTCGACGGCTTTTTCTTGAGTTTTCGACAAAAGATGCTGCCAGTGGGAGATCGAGGAAGTTTCAACGGATGTTTCTTGCCTTCTCGGCGGAAGAGGTTCTGTTTGATTGCTGAGACGATTCTAGATGCTGCCAACCAAGGTTCTAGGAAATTTCAATGGCGATTTCTTGCGTTCTTGGCAGACGCGGTTCCACACGATTTCGGTGGCGATTTATGATGCTGCCAGCGAAGGTTTCAGAGAATTTCGACAGAGTTTTTTCACTTTTTCAGCGTAAGAGGTTCTGCACGATTCCGGTGGAGGTTTCCGATTCTGCCAGTGGAGGTTCCAGGGAGTTTCGACCAAGTTTTCTCGCGTTCACGGTGAAGGAGCTTCCGCAAAACTCCGGTGTAGATTTTCGATGCTGCCAACGGAGGTTCCATGGAATTTCGACGGAGGTTTTTCTTGGCGGAGCAGGTTTTGCGCAATTTCGATGGAGGTTTCCGATATTGGCAGTGGAGTTCCAGAGGGAGCTTCTGCACGATTTTGTTGGATATTTTCGGTGCAGCCTGAGGAGGTTCCGAGGAGTTTCGACGAAGTTTTCACGTGTTCACGGCGGACAAGGCTCCGGGCGATTTCAGTGGAGATTTTCGGTGATGCCTGTCGTAGTCGGCTCTATTTAATACATATGGGTAGTGAACTATATTGTATGAATCCCAATTTCATGTTCTCACTTACACTATTACACATCCCTTGAGCATCACCTAGAATATTACGAATCGTTAACCTTACAGCAAGAGTGATCTGCTCAGTCTTCTTGTGTCGGTCGACTAAGGCTATCACACTGCCAGCCAACGGAGGTTCCAGTGAGTTTCGTCGGAGTTTTCTCGCGTTTTCGAAGGAGGAGCTTCTGCACGATTTCGGTACAGATTTCTGATGTTGCCAACGGAGGATCCAGTAGTATTTGACAGAACGATCACCGAACGATTCCAAGAAATTTCGACGCATTTTTTCCCTGTTTACGATGGAGAAGGTTCCGTAAGGTTTCGGTGGAGATTCCGGATGCCGTCGGAAGTTTCAGGGAGTTTTCTCGTTTTTTTTTTTTTGTGGAGATTCTGCATAGTTCTGGTCTAGATTTCTGGTGCTACCAACGGAGGTTCCAGAGAATTTAGACGTAGTTGTCTCGGGTTTTTGGCGGGGGAGCGTTCTCGGTCGAGCAGCTTCCACACGATTTCCGATGCTGCCAACGATGGGTTTCAGGGAGTTTCAACGATGTTATCTAGCGTTTTCGGTTGTGGAGATTCAGCAGCTTCGGAATTCTCAACCGAAATAGAGTGGAGGCTCCTCCGAGAACGCGAGGGGGCTCCGTAGAAGTTTTCTGGAACTTCCATTGGCTGCATCGGACGATGACTGAACTCCGTCGAAATTCCCTGAAACTTTCATTGGCAGCATCAGAAATCTCTCAAGAAGCCGCGAGGAAGCTTCTTAACCGAGAACCTGAGAAAACTCTCTTGAAATTTCCTGGAACGTTCGTAGGCAGCACCAGAAATCTCCTCAGAAAGCGTCCAGATCTCCGTCCACCGAAATTCATTAGAACTTCTATTTGCAGCATCGGAAATATCTGAAATCGTAAGCTTCTCAATCAAGAACGTGGGAAAAATCCGTCGAAATTCTCTGTAGCATCGGAAATCTCCAACGATCGCGCGGAAGCTCCTCAAAATCATGACAAACCTCAATGAAAACGCTGTCAAAATTCCACATAACTTCTGTTGGCAGCTTCGAAAGAATCGTGCCGAAGCTGCTCAATTCAAAAGGCGAGAAAACAGTAGAAATTTACTTGAACTTTCGTTGAAAACATCGGAAATATCCACGGAATTAATACGAAAGCTCTTTCAGCGAGAACGCGAATCCCTGGAATTTCTCATACACCGAGAGAATTGGAAAACTCCGTCGAAATGCACTTGCACTTTCGTAAACAGTATCGGGAATCTTCACCGCAATCGACAGGAACTCATTCCGTCGAAAACGTCGAAAAACTTCTGTTGGCAGCATCGGAGACCGCCGAATCGTCCGGATCCTGCTCAGTCGGGAGAGCAGTGAACTCCGGCTAAATTAATTTTGCACTTTCGTTGGCAGCCTCGGATATCATCCGGAACCTTTTCCGCCTTGAAAATCCGGATTAACTTAAGTCACGAGTGTGGATTTGAGCGAATCGAGGCGAACAACAAAACAGGCCAAATCCTTTCATGCACGATCAATTCTTCCTTGCCGTGTTATTAAGATTCAGTTACCGGGACTCAGAAGAATAAGCGGGATGACTTCTACAACTATACTATTTTCCATGAACATATCGGAAGTTTTGTAAGAATCTCGGCAGTTCTATGAAATTCTCGGAAGTTTTATCAACTGCTTGGAAGCTCTATGAACATCTCGGTTAGGTTCGGTTAGCTTTATTAGCGAGTCTTTCAGCCAGAGGCTGGTTCATCTCTTGACGAATATTGGGGAATCCAGAAGGGGTCCCCCCTAGTGACAGAGTTTAAAATAGCGGTGGGAAGCCAGAAGGGACCCCCTAGTTATAGAGTTAATGAGGTGGGGTATCCAGAAGGAACCCACTAACTAAGAGGAGTGGACAGTCCAGAAGAGACCTTAGTTAGTTAGATGTTCCTGGTTTGGTGCATTTGGTCGGCTAATTGTTATGGTGGTGTATTCAGAGTCCGTTATAGAGGTTGGTCCTGGTTCGATGCAGTGGGTCAGTTATGGTTGGTTCTTGTCAGTGAGTTAGGCCAGATGTTCTTATAAATGTTGGCGTCCTTGATAAAACATATAACAGCTGCTTCGGTTGAAGGGTCATTGGCCAAAGCGTTTCTAATATTCGTTGGGATCTTATAAAGATCCCTAATTCCCTGGAAACCTGAGCAATTCACTAAGAGGTTTGGAGAATCTTGCCACTTGGTGGTTTCCCCTTTGATTTTACGGAGGAACGGTTCCCTTTTGCTGGCCCACTCCAGGGCCCAAGCATTCCGAAGTTTGACCTTCATCCAAGTCTTGATATCAGGTCTTGGAACGGTTTTAGTAGCGAGCCTTCCAGATCGGCCCGTAGCCGCAAGATGGTCTGCTTCACAATTCCCCCGGATGTCGCAATGCCCGGGGATCCATAGGTTGTGTGTTGTGTTTGACTGAGCTTCCAGTTTGATCCCTGGATCCAAGGATGTCTGGGATTCCAAAGCTGTAAGAACACACGTAGAGTCCGAAAGGATACAGAGCGGTTTGCTGACGTGCATGGTAATGGCGTGGAAGATTGTCGCACTTTCCGCAGAGAACACAGAGCACTGGTCCAGGAGTCGGAAGAAAAGACTGGCAGCGGGATCTGCAATTCTAAAACCGACTCCTCCCAAGGTCTTAGAGCCATCCGTATATCTGTGGTGGTCGTCGGAGTATTTCATACGAAGTAGTTCAGTCACGTATGCGTGCATTTCCCGCGAGTTGTTACCAGTCTGTAATCGTCTAGCAACCGAGAGGCCAACGTGAAGGGTTGGTTCTGCCGATCCTCTGGTTCCGGTCTAATGTAGTCTCGACACTGAGGGGAGCTCCTGATGGGCCAGGTTCCTTAGAGCTCTGTTCCCCTCTCTGAGGACACAGACTTCTTCATTTCCGGCAGTCTTCTCCAAATAGCTTATTGTTCTGCTTACCAGGGTCTCGGCAACTTGGTACCGGAAAGGCAGGACACCGAATTCAACACATGCCGAGTCCGCAGAAGTGGACGGTAGGAGCCCAGCTGCAATACGGATGGCTTGATAAGTGGGACCTAGCCGCGCAATGAAGAAGTCACTAGCCGTACAGAAAATCTCAATTCCCTAGAAGATTTTACTATTGACGATCACGCAGAGAAAATTGACCTTATTGAACCAAAAAAAAATATTATTGAAATATTTTGCAATGTCAAATATAACTTTTTTTCAAATTCAATATTTATATTTTGTAGCTTCAAAAATTTTTTTGTTGTTTTCATTGCAAATTCTTAAAACAAATATATTGTAGATTCAATAAAATATATTTTTGTCTTCAGATATTATTTAAACTACTTTTAAAAAATATATT